AAAAAAGCCAGCTTAACTGAAAAGTCAAATAAAATTTAATTCCTTTGATTTTATTGTAGAAATTAATACTTTGCACAAAACAGATGTACCTTGTTAGGAATGTCACTTATCTAATGTAAAATTTACGTATAATTTTTTAAATATGGCAATAGAAATAGAGCGCGTTAACAGTCTTTAATTGGCAAAATAATCTTAAATACATTTTTGAGAAATAATGTTTGTTAACTTGGTAAAATTCCTAACATCAGTATAATAAAAAATATAAATATTAAAATAATAAAATTTCCCAAACATTATTAAAATTGTGTATGTTTTGTAAAGCATTCCTTATTTCCTAAGGAATTGATTGAAAAACTGAAAATCATTTCATCAAGATAAACTAGTATTTATTCTGTTTTTATTAGCGCCCAAATCACACTTGTTATACTGTTTATTCATAGACTATATATTAGATGTGAATTTATGTATATTAAAAGTACATAGAGTATTTATAGGAGATATATGATAATGAATTTTTTCACTGTAAATAATAAGTTCTTATGTAGGCACTAGACTGTAAGAGTCTTAATGCTACAATTCATTTTACATGGACATTTTATATATTATATTAAATTGTGGGGTTTTCATTTATTATGGAAAAAAGCATATGTATGAACAAAAATGCTGTCTATTTAACATCCTGTTTAACGATAGTAGTAAACTGAAATATTTGATATAGTGTTGTTTAGATCCATCCAATACCTACAAACCTTGAATCCTGTGTCTAATAAATAGTATGAAAGGAAGAAATTTCTGAAAATTTGGTATCAGGTGAAGATATTGTATATAGTGTAATAACAGAACATTTAATCTCTGTTGCTGTATAAGTCTTAAAGTTATGTGTGAGTGTATGGCCTGCTTTATGTGTTTGCTGTTGAATGGACAAAAGCTTGTGGTCAACAAGGTTAGAATTGTAAGGAAACTCCCTTTGAATAAGGTATAGCATTTCCCCATTATTTTTTAATTGTAACAAAGATCAAAATGCATATCCCCTGAATTCTCTAACCTTTAAAACAGCCATAAAATATTAAGTAGTATATTTTCATTATGTGAGACTTCTTCGGAAGATTTATTTTTAAATATGAAACATTTTAGATTTTATGTATTTCCATATACTTTAAAACAATTGACTTAGAATATTTTATTCTTTAGAAAGCTCTGAAATATTGGACTTTATTGTTACCCTTATTATGGGAGTTCAATAACACATTTTGGGGGGTAGAATGTTGTCAGTGGAATTCATTGGCATGGGAGACAAAAATAGTGCCTTAAGGTAACCTGTTGGGAAGGTAACCTGTTCTACTGAAATTAACAATTTTTGTAGCGCCCATTAAATAAGTCCAGCATAGTAAATGGGTTAAACAAAAATAGTTTTGCTTTGTCATGTTTGTAATTTTTGTTTGCAGGAAGGATATTTTCCTGTTGAAGGTATTTGTACTATTTTAAAAAGATACTAGATGTAAACTGGTCCAGTGAATCCTTCATATGAAAATACCTCTAAGGACATACATTAGGTAATAGAATTTGCAATTTTAGTGCTTTTGAGGAGCTTTTGCTGCATGACCTCACTACTGACTTAGAGTTGCTAGATTTGTAGTATCCTGGAACAAGGGCTAGAACAGCATGGAAGGTTGATGTTTGTATGATTTGGAGAGGAATTTGAGATGTTACCCTGTTTTGCCATCAGTCTTCAAGTATGCTCGGGTGCATCATTAATCATAGGAAATGCAAAAATAAATAATCCAGTCCCATTGGATTTTTTAATATGAATACTTACCTTTTCCTTTTTTTGTATATACAGTTGAGGTATTTAGGTAACCCTTAACCTTTTGCTCCAACAAAGAAGTACAGTATAAAAATATTACCACAGTTTTCATGTGAGCAGCTCTTGAGAGGGAAAAAGCCCTTCTAGATGAATATTTGTTGGGAAAAAAAAAGTTGTGATACAGAATGTCTTAACTCAACCCCAATACAGTACGTGGGGACCACCAGTGTATAAAATTGAAAGCACATGAGTTTTGAAGCACTAGAAAAGGTTTGTAATTGATTAGCGCTGCTTGAAAGTATTGAAGTACAGTGAGTTTTGATTTGTGAATGGTTCTATTCAATAAAGATTAATTCTGTGTGTTTGATAAAATCTTAGTGCCTTCAATGAGTTAGCTTTTTCCCCCCTCTGCAGTTTATTTAACCATCAAATATTTCAGTGTTCTTTTAACAAACTGGAACATTTCTATCTTACTGAATTTTACTTTAGCATGACTGATTTAAACAAGTCAAACTATCAGTGATTAGTTGGAAGGGTGTAATTGAATAGATTAATTTTTTGTTCTTCTAAAATAACTAAAATTTATCATAATGCAATTATGTATTTTTCATGCCATGTGAACTAGGGACTATTAGGAAGTTCATGCAGATTTACAAGATATTTTTGACCAATTTCTTTTAAATTTTTAAATATTTTATAATTTAAAAACAAAAAGCCAAATATTTAATATTTTCATGTAAACTTTGTGTTATTTATTGTGCTTTAAAATATATAAAATTGGGGATTTCTATTTAAAATGATTTGTAACATTAATCTTTGGAAATTATATTGACTTTTTAGCTTTCAATGTTTTTTTAGAGTAGTCTGCTTATGTTTTTGACTTTTAAAATGATGTCTCTGGATTTTGGAATTAACTGTTATTTAGAAGCAAGTTACTAAACTTTGCCACTGTTAAATATTGAAAGTATATTATTATTGCTACATACCAAAACTGTTATTTTGGAAATCAGTGCTTATACATCATGTTGAGTCAGTCACTATGGTCAATTACAAAGGTGATATGTAGAAATATAATCAGTCAACTAGTATATTTTCATAAATAATTCTCAGGTATTTCAAGAGTCACATCTGTCATTTTTGACACAATTTATCATAAATAGTGGACATATTTGGAGTAGTGCAGATTAAAAAAATCTAGTTTAATTCAAGAAAAATGGTATGCTGAGAAAGCAAGGAAGCTGAAACACTTCCTTCCATCCTCTTTCCCTTCCTCTCTCTCCCTCCTTTCTCTGTCCTTCTGTCCATCTGTCTGTCTCTCACCACACACATTTTCACTCATTGTATTTGAAGTGAGGCAGTTGGTCAGCTCCTACTATGTCCCTCATCTAGGAAAAGCCTAAACTTTAAAAAAAAACTAGTTTACAAAATCAGAATACATTTTTTTCACATTTTTCTATATTGTTTTGATAATCTTTACATAAGAATTTAAAGCCTGATGTGAGATGTTTAGATTTCAAATGAATTATAGAATGGGGAAATGTTTGTAATTTGTTGATAACCTATATCCACCTGTAATTAGTTCACTGTAATGGGTTCATCTAAAATTCTCTGTCTAGGCTCTGAAAAACTGTTGAATTAGTGAGTGAGGGGGGAGCTTGGGAGAGGGAGAGAGCAAATTCCACTTTTCAGAACAGAAAGATTTAGTTAAGATGTCTAAAAAAATGACATGTAATAGAAGATCTTTATTTAGCTCACTATTATTCCTTGTTTAGAAACTGGGTCAAGTTTGGAAATTTTACTGTGAAAATAGTTATTAAGGATGTCACAGAAATATAAGACCCCTTATAATAGAATAGTGAACAATATAACCTATTCTTTGTGACAATATTAATAGTTTTACTTCTATTGCTGCAGTGTCCTTGAAATTTGTTGTTCCCGGTCTAGTTAGAAAAATGTATTATTTAAAAAAACCAGTAACTTTGTGAAAGAGTATCTTAACTGCTTGAGATGCCTGTTTCAAGTTATCCCTGCATATAACAATAGCTTTAACCTTTTTTTTCCCCCTCATTTCTTGTGTAGTAACAGTAAAAGTTCCCAAGCATAACCTGTAATTATAATATGGACTTTAGTGCACTCTATTTGTATAATGTTCTGCTTCCTTAATGTAAAATTTTTTGAAGTAACGCTTGCTATTTACCATTAAATTCTTAAAAAAGAAATAGCCTGTGATGATTATATTATATGTGTTATAACTAAGGGGACCCTCTTACAGCATTTGAATGAGTCACTAAAGAAATTCTGTACTTTTTGTAAAATACAAAGCATATATATCCTCCTTTAAGAAAAACTTTTTTCTCTTTCAGGTTTAATTGTTTCTCTTTGACTAAACTAAGACTGATCCTCTGGTAGCCAGTTAAAATGTGTGAAGTAGGAGGAGTAAAGGAAACTCCAATCGTTAGTTGTAAGTTATAAAGCAAAGTTAATATAGGTATACACAGCAAAAGGATTTATTTTAAAGGATAAAGGAAAATTTTATAAATTTGCCTTGTAGTTGGAACATGTTGGACATCATAAAGAAAATCTTGTAAGTGTTTATATATTTTGCTATAATTCCATGTCAGCTGATGTATGTTGAAGTAGTTTCCATATGTGTATTAACACTAACTTGAAATTAAATATTAAGGAACTATATTATGTCTTTTCTTTTAAAGCTCAACATGATTTAATAGGTATGGCTTTTTTAAATCATGCAAGGTATTCTTACGGAGTTTTATTTTTCTTGAGACTAAACAGTATTCATTTCGTAGGTCCAAGAATATGATGAAAAGAATCCTAGACGTTTCAGTATTTGCTGTGTGTTTATAACAAGTTCTACACATGGGTAGCAGTGTGTACTTGTAAATTTTAAATTACATAGAAAAATTACAATTGATTGTAAATTGCTAAAGATGTCTGAACTCTTTAATATCCTGGGCAAATATGATGATCTTTTTAAAATTGGCTATTACATACTTAAAATTTTATTTCCGCTAACTATATACTTCAGCTATATAAAAGTTTAGAAACAGACTTGTGCAGCTATCTTATGATGCAGTTTAGAATTACAAATAGATTTCTTTTAGTTGAGTGGTTAAAAAGTTAACTGTACTACAGGTTTATTTCTGTTTTACATGGTAGAAGATAATGTTGAGATAATTCTGTGGTCTGTTATTTTGTAAAATTGCTTCCTTTTTGAAGTTTGGTTAAATATTGGTAGTTGCCGGAATGAATACTTTATAATGCTTTAATTAATTTAGTGTCTGATTTTATTTCAATGAGGATTAAGGAGACTATTAAGCTGTTTCCTTTACTGCTTTGACATTCTCATTTCTATCACTCAAGAAAGCATTTTGCCTAATGTGAAATAAGTTAGTTTTTCCCTAGTTTGTCATTATTCTAAACATTAGATAAGTTACCTATCTCAAATACAAATATGTACAGCAATTTCATTTTTCAATTTTTAATGCAACAAAATAGCATCATTAGTATATCTTTAATGTAATGTTTTCCAGAAAAGATAGCATTTCATCCAGGAAACATACCTTTATGCTTAACAGGTTCATCTCTTAAAGGATTTTAAAATATGATAACACTTACCCCAAAAGAAGTTTTGCTGACATGGTGTCACTGTGCTGAAGAGGCTGTTTGATGCCATAGTCCCTCCTTTTTTTTTTCAGATAGATCTTTTGCCCTCTGTTGTAAATACTGCTTGCAGTCTTAAACTGAAAATACAAACCATACCCAAACCTTGTTTTAGTTTTACAATATGCCTGGAGTACATAGACTTTATATTTATTTTTTTCTGTCAAGAAATTATGTAGCTGGTAACATGTGAAAAGCAAGGAAACAAAACAAAAAGAGAATGAGCAAATATTTGAAGGACCTACTATTACTGCATAGACTGTGGTTAGAGAGCACTCACTGACTCTGTTGGTCTCGGTGGCTGGTAGTGACCTGCGGAGATTAACCATTTAAAAACCAGAGACTTCTTGCTGTCCTCCTGGAGAAAGTTTGCACCGCACTTGTGGTTCTGTGGTTGTTTGTGAGGCGAATGAAGCATTCACACAATCCAAAAAAGCAAAAGCTTTAAAACTCCTTTTTTTTGCAAGCACTATTACTGGAGAGACAGAATCATGTGGTTTGTGACCTCACAGTGCTCAAAGTAAAGTGGGACTGCCTACCACTGTGGCTTTTTCCCTCTTGCTCTTGCTCTCTCTCTCTCTCTCTCTCTCTTTCTCTCTCTCTCTCTCTCTCTCTCTCTCTGACAAAAGACTTGTGGTAAGGCCCTTCCTGGCATCCAGAAGGATATAGCTTTTTAATTTTTGTGACTCATGAGGATTTGGATAGAATACAAATGCTGAAGGAGCCCAAACTCCTGTAAGGTTAAGCATTTGTAGAGCAGAAGTCTGCAGTTAAGGCTTTCCTTTCTATCTACACCTCTTTTGCCCCCCCCCTTTTTTTTTTGCCTCTTCCTTTATTTAGTTCATTATTTTATCTGTGTAAAGTGAACAAAATTGGCTCAAGGGGCTGTGTGAAATTCTGAACAACAGTGATGATTTACAATAATTTACATCTTTGGATTGTATCACATTCTGGGGTCTGCTTCATATTTGCTGGGTGACTGAAGTCCTTCTGTTTTTCTTTTTCTTGTCTTTTTAAACTTCTGAATCTGTAACTCATTGTAAAAAAGTTTACCTTTCTTAAGGTCTGGTTGCAAACTGCTTGCTGGGCTTGACTATAATTGGCTGTCATGAAAGTGTTAGTCTGGGAATTCCTTTACAAATATTAAATCATGTCTGTCTAGTTTATGTACTATCAATATTAGGCGCTGGCTCCTTCAGTAAAGATTAAAGGTAATTAGTTTCTTTTATATTATCTGTATCTTTATCTCACTACTTATTTGAGGACCTTAAAGTGCACGGCAAGAATTATAATATAGTTTATTGGATGGAATCTTAAGTTTCTTTATGCTTTAGTAATTTTGATCTTTTGAGGAAATGAATTCATTTTGTATAATTCTTTAGTTTTTGGGGGGTATAAACTTTAACAGAGCCTTTGATAGCATTTCTTATACATATATTAAGCAAAATTCTTATGTCATAACTTAGATTGCTCAATAATAGTTTTTATAAGCTCAGAATGGAGTGGGTTAACATAAGCTGTATTTTTGTTTATAATGGAAGCTTTGAAATAAATTACAAAATGCTGTGTGTAGTAAAGAATAATGCACACAGACAGAGTATGTTAGTCGTCTCGATTTGCTAATTCTGATGCAGGAGAAAATTGGAAACATCTTTGGGAAACTATCTCCTTTTTTGTCCCTTTGGACATGTGTGTATAGAACTCATTTTCTTATTAGGATGATTATATATCATAGGCAGAGAATTTCATATTTATGAATAGAGCTTCCTGTTTTCATCAGTTGGGAGTGATGGGGTGGGTATTTTTCAACAAAAATTATAAAGCCGAACAGACCAATTTTCTAGGCATTTTTTTCCCATTTATCGCCGCCACTCTGAATTTGCATGTTGGGCTTCTTCTGAATGTGATAGTAACTAGGAGTGTCGTGAAGTAAATGACTGGGACGGTGGGCGGAGACAGTGAATTACACAACATTATTTGGGGTGTATAATGGGGTAAGGACTTGGGAAACAGAAGGGTGTTAGAGCCAAAATTCCCTGTGTATGCTCTTTTCTAGCACAGTTATTTATCTGCTTATGATTTATATAAAGATAAATATACAAACATGTTTATTTGTTTCTTTAAAAGATATTGGTTAACCCAAAATCCACTGGGAAAACTTGGAATTCCTTTTAATCCTTTATTATTCTAATATCCAGAACATTTCCATAAAATGCTTTATTGATTAAAAAACCAATAATATATTTCAATGTTTTATTTTAAAGATAGACGTATTGTGCTTCATTGTGTGTGTAAACAGGTAAAAAGAAAGTAAAAATTTCCAGTTAACATGTACTTAATTGTTACAAAAGATAGAAAACTTTTTTAGTTACTCTTATAAGTAAGGTGTGCTGGTATATCTATATCTCAGTTATTCAGAGTAAGTTATGTATAATTTGTGGAATTGCCAAACATAGTTCCATATGCTCAAACAATAGCAGTAGACTCTGGCAGTTGAAATAATTTAGGTAGCTGTAGTATAATATGTAAATGCTTTTTTTCTTTTAAAATGAGTATTTAGTATCTGCTCTATGACTCTTTGATATCTTATAACTCATAAGTTTTTGCTCAAATAATTTGTTCTGTAAAGTTTTTTAAAATCAAATATCCTTAGCCTTCCACAGTGATCTAATGTACTTGGATAATTTTTAGCATCTATCTGTCTTTTAACTGCTTGTTCTCTTTTTGCAGGTAACATTCCTGCGCATAATTTTTGGGTCAGGACAGTCACTCTTACTTACTGCATAAGAGTTTAATAGATATTGTTGATTGTATCCTTTCTATTTCTAAAGTTGTCATATTCAGTTATCCACAGATTTTTCCCCCATAAATTGAAAGTGTGTCCTCCTTGGAGCAAATATTACTTTGTGGTAAAAATTGAACAAATGGCAGTGATAACTGGTACACATTTGATAACAGTTTGTTTCATTAGAAGTAATCTACATATGGTGAAGAGAGACTGATTTAAAAATATCACTGCAAATAAAGTTCTTGATCATGGATTTATACTCTGCTTAAAACTGGAAATGGAAACAACAGCATTTTCTTCTGGTTTTCAAAGACCTTCTAAGCTACATTCTGTTAGTATTTGCTATGTTGAAATAAGTTTAGGTGTGCTCTCTAAATTATGTACTCTAATGCCATGGAAATATAGCTTTGAACTTGAAATCAATTTTAATTGCTTCCCCATTATTTTGTATCACATTTGTCAACACTGCTCAAGCTTCTTGTTTGTTGTTTTAATATACAGCAGTACAGTAGTGCTTATATGCTACTTATATCTTCATTGTTACTTTTTGGATTGTTTTTTATTTTCTCAAATAAATATCTCCATTTTAATATAGTAGTTTTATTTCATCAATATTAATATTATGCTTCTTTCTATGTTTTTTTAAGAATTGTTTTAGAGACTTCTATTTGCAGCCATTCTTTTTTTTAATTGAAAGTGATAGGAATGTAGAGTTTTATGTAAGAATTTTATAAGCTGTAGAAATCTTAATTTGGCTTAAAATGTTCTTAGCGATGATGAAATTTTAACAGGGGTTTTTCTTCATTCATTACTTCAACTTGGTATGTAACAAATTTTATTGACAACTTTTGAGATTTGATGTATAGTCGTTTTGAGTTTACATAGCATTTTTGGGCCTTACTAATGTTTTGAAAATTTTTAATATTGGTAAAATGTGTGCAATTTTACTGATATTTTAAATTATGAGAAATTAATTCTACTTCCTTATTTTAATGGGGCACATATTTGTGTACACAACTCCATGCATATATTTGTGGTTAAATATGTGTACTGGGTATTTTGTGGTACCTTTTTTAATTTTTCTGTCCCCCCCCAGCTCAGTTTGTCTTAATTAAATTATGTGAAAAACCAGTGTGCCACCATATCCATAATTGTTTTTAACTTTGTTTGGTTAGTATTAAAATTATCTCTCTAAGTGTGAGATTATGTGGAAATTGGATGCCAGAAGCGAAAATGTTGAACTTTTTTTTTCTCTCCCTTTCTCATTCCTGTTCTCTTCCTGTCTCCCTTTCTCCTTTTCTTTCTCTCTCCTTTCCTTCTTCTCTCCTTCAGATGTTTTTCTTTTTTTGGTTTCCCTTTCTCTATCTTGACAATTTTATAAAATCTCAAAGTAGATTCTTAAGGTCCTAGTAGGGGATATTAATTTTAATCCTTACCAATGAATACCTCGCAGGTTTGAAGCTCCTAACTTTCAAGGCAAATCAGTTATATCCTGACAGATGCTATCAACCTCTTATTACAGAGATTTTCTTTTATTTAACTGTTTTTAATTCTTCTCTTTATGTTAATTTGCTTTAACACATTGTTTCATATGACAGTAACACTTTAATTATGAAGATTACTTTTTTCCTCTCTTGACTGTTCTTCAAAGTGCAAAGTAATCCATATGTGTTTAATTTATGGTTTTCCTAATTATTAAAACAATTAATCTTCTAAAGCTGTCATCTTTCTAAGAAGAAAAAAGGTGAGAACTTGCAGAAAATATGGAAAACATGTTCATATGACAGCTGAGGATGTGGCTAGGCTAAAGCAGGAAACTACTACCCACAATGCAATGTTACATATACTACCACTTAATAAAATTTATATCAAACATGCTTCTGACAAAACCAAAGGAAAATAATATCCCAACTGTATTAACATACTGAATATATACAGGGAAAAGTGAAACTAATCTGTTTGGTACCTTGTACTTAGAGAATATAGTATATAAAACTGTGGACATCATAGCAGTTTGGAACCCTGCAGTAGCTTTACCTTTGTGCTATGAGACATGGTTGTAGTTGAAGTTGTCTTCTAATAAGAACCTTTTGGATATTAACTTACTTGAAAATGGCACAAAAAGACAATCCTTTTCTTTTCAGCTGAACTGTTACATTATTAGAGTTGAAGGACATTGTCATCTAGTAGGAAAAGTAAGTAAAATTGTCATAAGTATTTGAACATTTTACTTAGCCAGCTATATTTCTGTGCTTTTTTTCTTTTAAGTTTTTTTTTTTTTTTTAATGGCCAGGTTTGAGATGGGGCTTGAGTTGTTCTTTGAGGCATATTTCTTTTCAATGTAGTTGCTTTTCTTGCTCTTTTGTATTTATATTAACCTAACATAGTTTAACCAGCCCATACGCTTTGCTGCAGGAACGTAGTCTAAAGCAGAAATCTAACCTACTTTTATAATATAGTTGAGAAATACATGATGGCATCTTCTTAAAAATCAGCTTTTAATATTTAGGTTTCCTAAATCTTAATCTTGTATGGTCTTAGCTCTTAGACTTTAGCAATTTTGATAAATTTAGTAGAGCTTTTACAATGGAGGTTTTTAAAGATTTAAATAAGGGAATATGGAGTTTTTGATTTGATAAGTAGTTTATAGAAATTTTATCATAGGAAGAATAGAAAAGAGTATTTGTTAATATTTCTTATGAAAGATCCCCTGTGACTGTTTCAAAATATAAATTGTCATTATTTCAAGTTTGGCACAGTATTTGTCATCTTATCATTTATACATGACTATATTGTCTGTGTATATTTCTATTAAAGATGATTTGCTTAATTGTTTCCAAGTATTTGCTTCTTTCGAGACTGCTTATCAATAACAGCTGTAGCACTGTGGTTTTCTCCATGGACTCATGGTGGTCTTTGGAATAGCGTTCTTCAGCTTTGACAGGTGAGACAGAGGCTCTCCAGTGCCACTGCTTTTGGATGAATCTAGCTGTGGTTGGAGAAAGTGCATCTTGCCAGAATATATGGGTGAGACCACACACAGCCTTTAAAATAGTTATTGTAGGCTTATTTTTAGGGATACATGTCTTGACAGTTCTTTTATTTGTATGCCAATTTCATTGCTGTGTATAGATTTTTCATTAGTTTAAGTAAAGGCAGTTGCAAATTTAAGTCTCTGTTAAGCGTTGTGTATAATTTATACTGGAAAATACTCTAGTTCAGCCATAATTAACAATATAGAAAATATATTGAGAATGAATCAGTAGAATACTAATCTTTTTGTTTATATAATTTTGACACTATTCCCATTGGAAATCTCAGTTTCTTAGCTTAGTAGTGACAAATTGCTCCAATTTGAACTTTAAGATTAAATAAATTAATCATATACTTTAATTACGGTAATAGTAAGAAAAACTTGTGGTTCTTGTTTTTCAGAGGTACATACTTTTGTAGTATTGATTTTGATTATATTGTAATTTTGTAATATAATAAAGCATTATTTGAAATGTAAGTTTAACACTTCAATAAAAGCTTGAAAGTATAGAAACAGATTGCCTGAAAAGTCAGTTTCTTAATGCATAGGTATAATATGCAAGCTATTCCAGTACTTTTAGGGATGACTAAAATTTTATTCAACTTCACTGTAAAATTGACCGTATGTTTAGAAAAAGCATGTTTAGGCTTCTAAAATGAATTTTTTCATTAACAAGCAAAGAGCATTCTTTAGACTTCTATAAAATTATACATTTGGATAATTAATGATTCTTAGGAAGTTATTAATGATAATATTAAGGCTTAACTTCTTTAGTCTTGACAAATTAGTCATAAGATTTTTCACTAGGTGGTCAATGAATGTGGGTTAGGTATAAATTAAATGCTTATTTATATAAAATATTTACATAAAATAGTTATATGTAGTCAGCTAAGATTATAATTTTGTTCTAGATATTTTTATAGGGAAAGCAGAATCCTACCAAGATAATTGGAAATTTAATTTCCTCCCCATTATTATCATAGTACTCTTCCACTGCTGAATGGGTCTGGCAGGAAAGTACTAGGGAAATTGTGTTCCTACAGTTTTTCCAGAGAATATATTTATGGAAAGGAGAGAACATAGTATATTGCCTCTCAGAAGTTCATCTCGTATATGAACCTGGATTGGATGATAGATTTTTTAAAAAAAGCCACATCAGTCATTTTTTTGATGTTTAAGGAAACTCAAATGTTGACTGGAATGGTGATATTAGGTGATGTTTATTAGGGTAAGTGTGATAATGCTGTTGTGTGTACATATAGGAAAATATCCTTATTTTTAAAAGGAGTGTATGATGAATTATTTTCATGAAGTCAGTGCAATACTTAAATATATACATAAAACAAATGGGGCAAAATGTTACAACTGATTAATCTAGGCAAAGGGAAAAACAAGCTTTCATTTTGCTATTTTTCATTTTAAACAGTGAATTCTGAAATATGCCGTGTTTTGCAGAGAAAGGAGTATAGGGATATGATTTCAAACCAAAATCAAGTAGTTGGGAAGTACTCATTTATTTGTATAAATGTGATGTTTTAAAAATAAATGAATATGAATAATAGTCTGCATTATACATAAGAATTTTAAATACTAGTGTGTCATTTCATTTTTTACATTTAAATTCTATTTATAATAAGACACATATGTCATATTTACAATAAGACACATTTCTCACATATATACATGAGAAATGGTAAAATATTTTTGAGAATACCAACTTTAAAATTTCTGTTTGTATAATAGTAACTCAAGTCATATTGGTGAGCTACAAATTTTTAGAGGATCAAAACAAGCTTCATTATTAGTGTGTCATTTATTTTTAAGTGAATTTTTTTTGAAACACATAAAAGTATCTTAAAATTTTCACTTACATTAAATAATACTGAATTGTGCTAGTTCTACTAAATCTTTCATGCTATTAAATTGTATTCTTTCAAAAAGTTATCTTAATGAGCAGTAGTGTAATTCTCTATGTGCAAATAATTCTGAATTTGTATTATATTATTAATACCCTACAAAGGGTATTTACAGTTTTTTTGGAGGCCAATATAGTAAATAATTTCAGCTTTGTGGGCTATTTAACTCTGCCATGATACATATGAAAAGTACATAATAAAAAGTACTACAATAGGGCCTCCCCGGTGGCGCAGCGGTTGAGCGCTGGGTTGCGAAGCTGCCCGCAGCCTCTGCAGCGCTGGTTCGATCCCTGGTTGCTCCCCGGCCACTGGAGGAGGGTCCCACATGGCGCGCAGACCTCTCCTGCCGCCCGCTGCTCCCCTCAGCAGTGTACTTCGGTCCTTCTGCCTGCTCTGCTCCCTGCTCTGGCTCTGGTGAATTCTCTCACCCTCCCGCGCTTCTGACTGTACCCAGTGCTTATATAAAAAACAAACAAACAAACAAAAAAACCTAAGCTTGTAAAAAAAAAAGTGCTACAATAAGTAAACGAATTGTCATGACTGTGATTCTGTGAAAGTTTGCACAAGCAGGCAGCAACTGGTGTACCATAGTTTGTGCACTCCTGCTACCTGTACTTTACATAGGCCCAGTGGATGTCTTCTTTTATAGAACAGGCAAGAATAGTTTGATATGTTGATCAAACTTCAATTTACATATAATGGAATTTTTCGAAAGTATTTATAAAATCTGGGTTTTAATTTTTGTTTATTGTGACTTGAAAGATCACCTTTATAGGGTTTCATAACTGTTGAATTTAGTAGTGGAATTTCCTCATTATGTAATTATATATTGTGAATAGTTTTATAAACTGCACTAAAATTTTTTTAGGATTAAGGTTGGAATCCAAATGAATAATCTTGATTATAGTCTTTCCCCAAATGATCAGAATTAACAACATTTATCTAGTTTTTGAATTTCACTAATAAGAAATAAGCTGCAATTTCTCTGTCTTTTGTTCACAGAAATATTTTCTTCAGAATTTTCACTGGCTTTGAAGCCCAAGCCCAATATATTTAATTCATTTTTTAAATTGAAGTAACATTGTTATAACATTACATAAGTTTCAGGTGTGTATCATTAAAAATTAACATCTGCATAAGATATATTAAAGTTTACCACTAAAAGTCCAATTCTGTTTTTCATCATGTAGTTGACACCTTTTTACCAGATTTACTCCCTCACCCCATTAGCAGAAATCTTACTCATGATTGTGATGAGCTTTTTTCCCTCTTTTTCATTTCTATGTGAATTTAAATCTCAGTAGAAAAAAGAATAAATTTTTTTGATATTAATCTCCACAAACATTCATTTTATAAATATTGGGCATACTTCAAGTAAATTTGTTTCCTGAGGCTAGGTAGACTGTATTTATTAAATGACGGTCATGAATACAACACCTGAGCAGGAAAAATAGTGGTTTTTAATAAATCGTTAAAGAGCAAATGAACCCATATTCTTATCTACATTTCAGACCTTTAATTTATTAATACTTATGATTTTAAATGGTTAGATGGCTTTAAGTAAAATTTTCAGTTCATACTATTATACACCTTACTTAATCCATAATCTTTTAAGCATTTCCAATTAGTTAGGGATCAGATCAAAAAACTTTTTTAAGAAAATTACTTGTTTTATGAAAAAAATTATTCTGCAAAAGGATTTGTAGCAGCATTGTTTAATAGAGTGAATTTCTTTAGAGTTTTTTTTTATTTTTTAAATTTTTAAATGAAGTACCATTGTTTTATATCCTTATTATTTTTCTGACACTATAAAGATATTTCCCCTCCTAGTGGTCACAGTAGCTGTCCCAATACCATAGTCCATTGTACTCCTCCCCTGCCATTGTTTTCATCCCTCCTTAGCGCTTTCCTCCTTCTCCCCTCCTGGATACCTCAGATCTAGTGTCAGCTTTCAAGGGTTGGTTTTAAAGTTTGTCTGACTTTTGTTTGGTTTCTCTATATTCCACATATTAATGAACCATCCAGTATTTATCTTTGGTTGAAAAATTATTACAAAAATTTCATATAATTTCTTTACAAAAGCAGTCTTCCTCCTTTGTCTCAAATTCGTTTACTGTTTGCTCTCATTTATAATACATTTCTAACACTGTTTTTATACCTTACCTTTTCCCAATATTATATAACAAACATAAATCGTAGGAAAGAACAACATGTCTGGGAAGAAGACATACAGAAAGACTAATACACAGAAACTCAAAATGCGTCATCCAGGGTTAAGGTGAGTTGAGAATGCCTTATCTATCTTAATAGATTTTAAAAGGTATTGTATGGTAGCAATTTAATAAGTTAATTGTCAGGAGCAAGACTTTATTAAATATACTTTCTTTTAAAAGATAAGGAAAAACAATCTCTTTTGGAAGATTTCATAAAAAGTTACTAAGTTAAAGAGAATTTGCTATTTAAAGTTATAATGTTCATTTAGTAGGAAAATCAGCCTCTTAGGAATAAAACCCTATCCTCAATGATTAAATACAGCCTTTATTATACTTTGCTGTCTTTTTGTTATATTTTAAATATTAAGCAGTCAATATAATGATATATATATATAAAACATTGATATATAGTTATTTATGGCATGAGATCTTTACAAAGTTTAATACTGAAAATGCCAAAAAATTTTTTTTGTGCTCTTTGCATCTATACCTAGGAGTGGAATTGCTGGGTTATGTGGTAAGTCCATTTTTAGTCTTTTGAGTAATCTCCAAACTTCTTTCCATAGAGACTGGATCAGTCTACATTCCCAACAACAGTGTATGTAATAGGGTTCCTTTTTCTCCACACCCTCACCAACACTTTTTGTGGTTTTTTTAAATAGGGGCCATTCTCACAGGCATGAGGTGGTATATCTTATTGTGGTTTTGATTTGCATTTCCCTGATGAAAGTAATGATGTTATTTCATGTCTTTTGGCCATCTGCGTGTCTTTTTTGGAGAAGTGCCTATTTACCTCTTCTGTCCAATTTTTTTGATTTTTGTCTTTTTGTTGTATGAGTTGTATGAGTACATTGTAGATCTTTGTTGCCAGTATCTTTTTTTCTTTTGTAAGTATCTTATAAGATGTATGGTGTGCAAATAGTTTCTCCCTTTCAGTAGGGTGCATCTTTATTTTGGTCACATCTCTTTTGCTGCACAGATGCCTTTTAGTTTGATATACTCCCAGTTTATTTTCATTTTTTTCCCTTGCTGTTGGAGATGTTTTCCTCTACGTTATTTTATGGTTTCAGGTCTTATGTCCAAGTCTTTTATCCATTTTGAGTTGATTTTCATGTATAATGTGAGATAGTAATCTGCTTTCATTCTTTTGCATGTGGCAGTTAAAATTAATAGATGCTGGGCCTCCCTGGTGGTGCAGAGGTTAAATTCTAAGTGCCCTTAAGCTATTGCCAGCTATTGCAGCATGAGTTCGATCCCTGGCAAGGGATCTAACCCACATGGCACAGGACCATTCCTGTCTCGCCCGTTGCTCCCCTCAGCAGTGTATTTCAGTAGATCCACCTGTTCTACTCCCTACTCTTTCTCTGCTTAATTCTTTCACCCGCCACCCAATGCCCCTGGCCGAGACCCTAATTCTTGTATGCATAAATAAATAAAATGAATCTTTAAAAAATTAATAGATGCTACTTTCTAGAGGAGTTTTATTTTTACAGAAAAATTAAGCAAAAAGTATTTACTATATACTTCCCTCCTGCAGATCTGTTAACATCTTGTATTAACATCTTGTATTGTACCATATTTATTACAGTTGATAAACTATTACTGATACATTACTGTTTTTAAAGATTTATTTATTTATTTATACAAGCACTGGGTACAGTCAGAAGTGCGGGAGGGTGAGAGGATTCACCAGAGGCAGAGTGGGGAACAGAACAGGCAGACTGACAAAATACACTGCTGAGGGGAGCAGTGGGCGCAACAGGAGAGGTCTGTGTGCCATGTGGGACCCTCGCCCATGGCCAGGGATTGAACCGGCACTGCAGAGGCTGCAGGCAGCTTCGCACCCCAGCGCTCAACCGCTGCGCTACCAGAGGAGGCCCTGATACATTATTGTTAATTAAAGCGAGTAGTTTATGTTAAGATCATTCATGTTGTGTGGCTTTTATAGGTTTTATTCAGTGCATAATTTTATATATCCATTATATTATGAGACTGATTAGTTCTTCCTAAAATCCCCTACAAAATTTTAGTTAAATACAAATAACATTAAATATAGCACCTTAACTATTTTAGCAACGGGTGTCTTCATAAACTGTTGTCTTTTCTCAGAATCTCATATAGTTGGACTCATACAAAAATGTAAGCTTTTTCAGACTCAATTCTTTCACCAATGTTGATCACTTAAAGTTCCTCCCTGTCTGTTTTGTAACTAATTTCTTTTTCTGATGAATAATATTTCATTGAATGGATGTACCACATTTATTCATCCATTGCAGGAACCACTATCAATATGAGTGCAGGTGGTTTTTTTTGGAAATAAATTTTCAACTAATATGGTTGTGAATACCTGGTAGTACAGTTGCTAGATTGTTTGGTAAGGCTATGCTTAACTTTGTAAGAAATTGACAAACTGTCATCCCTTAATGGCTGTTTCATCTTACATTCACACCAGTAATGAATGAGAGCTCCTTTGTGCCACAATGTTTTCACCATTTACTCTTCCCAGTGTTCTGGATTTCACCTCTTATAATTAGGTATTTAGTTGTACCTCAATGTGCCTTAATTTGTAATTCCTCAATTACAGAGAGTTATAAGCATCTTTTCATATGCTTATTTGCCATCTGTATATCTTCTTTGGGAGGTTTCTGTTCAGATCTACCCCCCTGTTTTTAGTTAGCTATTTTGTTTCTTGCTGGCTTTTAAGTTATTTGTATACATCACATTTTGTTCATCAATGTATTTGTTGATGTTCACTTGTGTTGTTTCCACCTTTGGCAGTTGTGAATAATGTTGCTGTTGAACATTGCTATACAAGTATCTAAATTCCTGTTTTCAGATCTTTTGGGTATATGCTGAGGAGTGAAATTGATGGCTTGTATAATAATTCTATGTTTAGCTTTTTGTGGACCTGCCAAACCAGATAAGTCTTTTGCAAATATTTTCTCCCAATCTGTGGCTTGTCTTTTCATTTTGTTAAGAGTATCTTTTGTTCAGTGGACATTTTTCATATTAGTGAAATTCAACTTACCAACTTTTTTCTCTCATGAATCATATTTTCGGTGTTCTATCTAAAAACTCTTTCCAGATGAACTGTTGCCATTTGTGGCAACATCAGTGAAACTGGAGGGGATTATGCTAAGTGAAATAGTCAGAAGGAGAAAGACAAAATCTGATAGTTTCACTCATATGCAAAATATAGAGAAACAAAGCAAAGGGTCAGACAAAACCAAACCTAAAACCCTAGGAATCTGGCTGTAAAATTGAGGCTACCAGTGGCGCAAAGGGAGGATGGAGAACAAAGGATAGAAGAGGCTGAAAGGACTATGGTAGAGGACTTTGGATGCCTTCTTGATGGGTCTGGTGTGGTAACATACATCTCAAGAGGTGTGGTCCTTTACCTCTGAATCATATACTGTGTTGTAAAACCAATTAAAAAAAAAAAAAAAAAACTTGTTCCAGAGCTAAGGTCATCTAGATTTTTTTCCTCTACATTCTCTTGTAGAAATTTTATTTTTTGTTTTTCACATTTTGAGTTAATTTTTATGAAAGATGTTAAATTCAGTGCTATATTCATTTCTTTCACGGTTGGATGCTTATTTTATTACCACTTGTTGAAAGGACTGTTTTTTGGATTACCTTGCTTCTTTGACAGAGATCAGTTGAATATATCTATGTGGGTGTCTTTCTGGATTCTCTAATCTGTTCCACTGAATTAGATGTCTCTTCCTTTTGCCACTACCACACTGCATAGATCACTGTAGGTTTATGTTGTAGCATTAAATCAGTTCGTTTATATTCACAGTTACTTGCTGGGATTTACATTGGATTACATTTTAATCTCTAGTGATAGGAAAAACTGACATCTTAACTATTGAGTTTCTTCTGTTTGTGAACACAGGATGTGTTTCCTTTATCTAGGTCTTCGTTGAGCTCTTGTATCAGAGTTTTAGAGTTTACATCGTATAGGTATTTCTCCTATTTTGTTAGATTAATACTTAAGTAATTCCTTTTCCTTGGTGCCAGTACAGATAGTATTTTTTAAATTTCAAATTCTTTTTATTGATTTCTTCTATAGAGGATAATAATTGACTTTTGTATATCAACCTTAGATCCTATAACTTTACAGTAATTGCCTATTGTTTCCAGGAGGTTTTTGTTGATTTCTTCTGTGACTTTCTAGTTAGGCAGTCTTGTCATTTATGTACCAAAACAGTCTTATTTCTTCCTTTTCAACCTTTATACCCTATTTCTTTTCCTTGTCATATTGCATTATCTGGAACTGATGTGAACAGGAATGTTGAAAGGGACTATCTTTGCCCTGATACTGATCTTACCATTCTGTGTGTTTCACTATTAATATGATATTAACTGTATGTTTTTTTGGCATACAAATTGAATGTTTCCCTTTATAATTTGCTAAGAATTTTTATCACAAATGAGTGTGGATTTTGTCAAGTGCCTTTTCTTTATATATTGATAGGAGCATATGAGCATTCTTATTTAGGCCATTATGATGGTTATATCAGTTGATTTTTCAATGCTGAACTAGCCTTGAATCTCTGAAATAAATCCTACTTGATCACTGGATTTGACTTGTTAACATTTTGTGGAGGATGTTTTGCATATATATTTGTAGAAAATAATGCTTGACAGTTTTCCTTACTGTAGTGTCTTTGTCTGCTTTTGGTGTTGACAAATGCTGTCTTCGTAAAATGAACTAGGGTATGTTCCCTCTGGATCAGATTGTAGAGAAATGTATAGAATTTCATCCTTAAATGTTTGCTGGAATTTACCAGTGAAGACATCTGTGTCTGGTGCTTTCTACTTTGGAAGGTTAGTAATTATTGATTCAATTTTAAAAATAGATAATCTGTTTCTCCTTGTATGAATTTTGATAGCTTGTGCCTTTCACAGAATTGGTCTGTTTTAATTTAGGCTGTCAAATTTGTGGTCATAAAGTTGTTCATGTATTCCTTTATTATTTTAAATGTCCACAGGATAAGTAATATTATCCCCTCTTCAATTTTGCATATTGATAATTTGGATCTTTTTTCCCCTTCACATAGTTAGAGGTTAAAAGAGATTTCTTTGACACATATTTACTGGTATAGTTGTTTAATAGCTGCCATATTTGCAATTGTGTCTGTCATTGCTCTTGCGCTTCTTTCCTCCCTCCTACCCTCCCTCCCTCATTCTTTCCTTCTCTTTCTTCAACTCTGACTTGTACTCTTTGCTGCATTTCCTGGTGTTAATTAAACATTTGTTAAGATTTTATATTTTTACTTCTTTCAGTATATCAAGTATGACTTTATATCTCTTCTTTTTAAAATCTTTTTTTATTGGTACTCCAGAGTTTGTAATAGATGCTTGATACCATCCAGTTCTACTTTCAAACAGTGCTACATGGCTTCATGTGTAATGCATTACCTTGTAAGAGAGTATTCTCTCCTTTATAAAATTGCTGTTATTCACTTCACTAATCTATATGTTGTAGTCATTGGCTACATTATTGCTATTATTATTTTGAACAGATTTATCAGCTATATCGCTATCATTGATGTGAGAATATCATAGAGTGTAATTGCACAAACCTAAATGGTATAGCCTACTACATAGCTAGGCGGTACAGTACAGCCTGTTGAGACTACAGTCATATTTTCAGTCCATCAAAGTGATAAGCAATACATTGTAATTGACAGAATGTACAATTTGTTAGGCATTATTAGAATGGACTCATCTAACTTTATTTCAGTGACTATATATGAAAAGGTTTTTGTCACTTAATAAATTGGAAACATGACAAATACACCCTGTCTGTCTGTCATGGTACTGAATCATGAAATGCAATAAATGGTGTATGGGGACAATAAATACTACAGTTATATTACAACTAGTATATAGAGACCATAATATTTTGTAATTTTTTAAGGTTATTTATAAATACAGATAATGATATATAATGAATTGTTGTTTTCTAGTAATGTCGAAGCTGCTGATTTATATTTACAGCTAAAAACTGGTACTTATTATTTTAAATAATGGAGGTAGTCTAGTATTTTAACTTTGGGAATATTAATGAGCTATGACTAATCACGTTATTTCCAGACTTTCTGCTTCAAGATAAATAATATTTTATATTTTTTAACATTTTCTTGAAAAGCAAACAGATAAGCAAATGCAAAATCTTGAGCAAAAATTCTATTCACTAGTGATTTCTGTTGAAACATGGAATGTGTTCAGCGATTACGCCATAGATCTAATAGAAATGGAATCAGTGCCGCTTTTACTCTCTTTGTTTCAGTTGGGTTTCTGTAATCAACACTTTTTTTTGGAATATAAGTTTTGGCCTCTTTATTTCTTCTGTTGTTTTTGTTCTTTTAGGACAGAAGTGCATTTTTATAGTATTTATAAACTGGTAACATTTTTGTACCATTGGTTGCATTTTAAGAAAGGAAAAGTAGGTATTATGGCATTGTCCGTTCATTTTCTAAGATCTCTTTGGCATTCTTACCCCTTAAAATGGCATTATTAGTAGGCTGAATAACTGAAAAAAAATTTTTTTTCCAGCCATTGTTCTCTATTTGTGTTTTGCTTCTCTCATTTTGAATGTTGTTTCTTTTCTAATCCCATATTCCTAATTACCATCTTCCTTCTTGACTTTTCTCATTAGGATCATTAAAAAAATATCTATCTTTGAGGTCTGTTGGAAGAATTTTAAAATAGCTTCTGTTAATATTCTGTTTAGTTTTAAGAAAATTATACTAACTTTTATAGGAATGAAATACTTCCAATAGCAAGTTATATTGTAAATGCTAAATATTATGAGAAAATAGAAAAATTCACTATTAGTTTTGTTTGGATTTAATTACATTGAGATTTGTCTCCTTTCCAGCATAATTCTTGAGTAGTTACTATTTTTAAAAATTTTATTTATTATTTATGCATAGAAGAACTGGGGTATAGATCAGTTGTGCAGGGGGTGAGAGGATTCACCAGAGATAGTGGGGAACAGAACAGGTAGACTTACTGAAATATACTGCTAAGGCAAGCAGCGGGCAAGATAGAAGAAGTCTGCTGTGCCATATTTGGGTTAGCTCCCTGGCCAGGGATTGAACTCAGGCCGCAGTGGTGATAGGGTGATAGTGCTGAGACTTAACCTTTACGCCACCAGGGAGGCCCATTCTGGAGTACTTATTGAAGAGACTTATTTCCTTGAAATTATTTAAAATAAATAGAGTTGCTGTGCCTAAATTGTTTAGAATTAGAGCTCTGTAGTTTGGATGGGTGGATATATGTAACCATCACTATTTCATCACAGTCTGTCATTGATCCTGACCCATGGTATGTGGGTGGTCAATTACCATGTAACAAGAAATTTAATAAACTTTTCTACAATATGTATTGGATCATTTGAATCAAAGGCATTCAAAATACAAAATTTTATACTTTTGGTTCTTTTCAGTTATATTAAAATAAAATGCTATTGTATAAACATTTATCAGCTTCTCAGAGGATGACACATACAATAATATAAAATGGTGAGTAGGCCCAATTGATCTTTGCTATCATGTTCATGGTAATTGAAAACAGAAACACAATGCAAAATCATAGCAATGAACAGGGTTTTGATGGAGACAGTTATTGAGCATCTGCAGCTGCCAGGTGATGTAATAGGACCTAGGAGTTTGGGATGAGAACTAAGGGCAAAAATTATTTTTATACAGAGTTGAAAGAACCATTTCCTCCCCTTTCCTACAGCAAAACAAAACAAAAACACTGAACCCATGAAACAAAAAACTCAAAACAAGAAAAAAATTATAAAAGAGATAAATAATAGAAAAGACAACTGTCTTATGTTTTAATAGGTTGAACTTTCTGCAGAGCTAGAATGGAAAATAGCGTGAGTTACAAGGTGAAAAGAGTTAAGCCTCAAGTTCAAGTGTGACCCTAGATAAGTCACTCACTTTTCTTAAGCCTTTATTTCTTCCTTGTAGTTGTTGCTATTGGTGCCCCACTCAGATTCTTTTTACTTGGATGGTGTGTCTGCCTACCCATCTAAGAGAATTGATAACTTATTACTCTTGACAATAAATGCTTCCAGTGAACTACTGGAAGTTCCCTAGCACAGAGATACCAGGGACATTCTGGTCTCCACTACTCCAGAGGTGGAGTATAGCCCATGACTGACTTTTATGGGGTTTGAATGTTTCACGATGTCTCAAAACAAGGCAACTCCATGGTGCCATTTAGACTCCAAATTCATCCAGGGATTAGATTGGGAGTATACTTCAGCTGCACCATGGCTTTGTTGTGGCTGTGATTTATCCACTTTGTTGAATTTTTAACTTAATATAGCTTCCTTAGTTGCATGCAAAGAGTTCTTATCAGACTTCAGGAACTTGACCTAAGACTCTCCTTTTCCCATTGAAAATTGTGATCAAATACACATGAAGATTACAAAACTATTTTTAAGAGTATAGTTCGTTGGCATTGAAATTCATTCATGGTGTTATGAAACTGTCTAGGTATCACCATCTAGTTCCAAAACTTTTACATCACACCAAATGGCATCCCAATAGCTATTAGCAGTTCCTTGTTACTTTGTTATTATTATTCTCCTCCCCCCCCCCAAAAAAAAGACAGCCACCAGCAACACCTATGAGTGGAATACTGGATTATATTGTAAATTGTGTTTAACTTATTTAGGAACCGTAAAACTGTTTTCTAAAGAGGTTTCATCATTTCATGTGAAATGACTTCTCAACATCCATGTCATGTCAACACTTAATTTCCTTTTTTTGTTTCAGCTAACATAATGGGTATGGGCACTTCTTTTAAAAATTAAACTGACATTCATTGAAAGATTACTGTGAAGATCAGATTACCTGACAGCCAAAATAATTGACAAGTTACAAAGCAACATACAAATGTTGCATTTTTTTTTGTGTTGTGATGTGCACTTTGAACTGAAATTGGATTTAAAGGATACCTGTAGTCTTAGCTTTTATAAGATTTGCTTAGAAACAACCATAACACAGTCTTTTCTCTCTTAGTATGTATTTAAGATCTACATTTGTACATATGTACATGATTTTGTTATTTGACTTTTTTTTAGGTAACAGGATTTGAGTTTTTAAATGTGTTAGAAATCTCCTTAACATTTTTAGTGACTATTTTTGGTACTTCTCTGCAGATATTACAGCATCTTCAGTGGGGAAGCTTTTCTTTTTCTTTTTTTTTTTTTATATAGTGAGTATGTGTATTTTAAATCCTTTATGCATTAGGGATTTTTATTTATTTTAAGATTTGTTGTTTTTCAGAGGCTACCTCTTTTATAACTTGTTACTGATTTAAAAAATTTTTCGTATAGATTAGTAATATATATCAACAGTGGGTTAATATTGCTTCAGTTAATGCAATAGAACAATTTTATTCTGATTTTTATTCTGATTTTTAAACTTTGTATTTCTGTGGCTTTAAGGCTTTCTGGCAGGCATAATCAGAAGCCACGAGATTAAAATGGCCCACATTTTTCAACTATTGGTTTAATTTTTTGGTAAGTAATTTTTTAAATATAATTACAAACATGGACATACTGTTAGCCCAAGATAGAGTTAACAGGAAATTTGAAGATGAAACTGACATTTAAGAAAATTTGATAAATTCTAGTACTTTGGTGGAAAGGATTGAGAGGTATTGACTTAGTTTGCAATATTGATTTGTTATGGACTTTCAATTTACTTGTCTTTAAGATTTGAACATTCTTTACACATATGAGATTCGACCATATTACAGGACTCCTTTCTGATTTTTTTAAATGATTTTTTTTGATATGTTACAGGTGGATCAAGGCTCAGATGTCTGGCAACTAACTGTGAAACAGCTCCAAATACACTCTGGAGTCTCTTTTTTCTTCATTTGAGTAATTAGAAAGAATTTTAGTGTTTCATGATTTGTTATATATACACATTGTTGAAATGTGGGGGAAAAAATATCTTAATGGCACCATGATCTTCCGTTCATCAGGTTTGTGGCTCTGTTCTTTGACTCCTTTATTATAGTTAATTCTTTTCAGTTCTTTGGTTCCCTGTAGCCTTTCCTTCCCTTTCAGTTTTTTGTCTTGGCTTATACCCTGTACTTCACTTACAAATTACTGACCCCAAATTTATCTACTTTATTGCTTTCTTTGCTTTTATTGTTACTTCTGCATTAATCTTTCCAAACTTCTATTAACTTTGTACCTTAAGTTAAATTCTTGCTTTTAAGTAAAGGTACTAGACTCATTTTCCATCCTTGTTCCTTGCTGTGACTTTTATGTTTTGCTTCTCTTCATTTGTTTTGTCTGTGATGACTGCCTTGTCTCTATTTTCTGAAGTCCTGGCTATCCTTCAAATTATCAGAAATTCTGCCTTTTTTTTTTTAAAGATTTATTCATTTATGCATACAAGAGCTGGGGTACAGGCCAGAAGTGTGGAGGGTGAGAGGATTCACCAGAGACAGAGTGGGGAGCAGAACAGGCAGACTGACTGAAATACACTGCTGAGGGGAGCAGCGTGCGAGACAGGAGAGGTTTGTTGTGCCATGTGGGTAGCTCCCTGGCCAGGGATCAAACTCGTGCTGCAGTGGCTGTGGACAGCTTCATCGGTTGTGTATTAACCCCTTGTACCAACAGGGAGGCCCGGAAGTTCTATCTTTTTATAAAACTTTTTAGTGAACTTCAGAGTGAGAACAGCATGAAACTGTAGAAAAATGCCGGCTTTGGAATTTGTCAAAACTGCATTTAAACCCTGACTTTCTAAATGATCAAACCTGTGACCTGAGGCAAGTTATTTAACCTCTGAGATTTTCTGCTTTGGCATTTCCAAAGTGGAAATAATACTAATTTTTTGGATTATGTGAGAATTAGGTAGTGTTTGTAAAGTACCTAATTCAAGGAGCTGGTATGAAATTTATGTTGACTCATTCAATGTCTACTTTATTCTGAGTTCTCTCAGATGATAAACTGCATAGAGAAGTAGATGTTAAAGTTTTAAAATTTTACATACCATTAGTGACTTGGGGGAGAGGAAGAATGAATGTCATGGAAAGTAAGATTGTCTTTTTATGTTTTTTTAGTAATACAACCAGAGTCTATGCCTGCGAGTCAGGAGTGCCTGTTCCTACCTATAATAGGAGTAAATTAAAAGATTACGTATAAAATGTTCATGAGTACATCTTTAGATCTTTTGGATCTAGGGTAGCATTAGGATGGTGTGATTTTTGGGTAAATCTCCACCTCAGTGTCTTAATGCATAAGCTAGGGTATATACTATACTACCCTCACCACTCTAACTTTTGCTATAACACTGTGTGGGTAGGTCTGATTATTTTCTATTAAGAGTTGAGATGATGGAAAAACAGAAAGGCTAAATGACTTACTCACAATATTGTATTTAATAGTAGTAGCAGCAAAAGCAACTGCCATTGCCTCCTAACTTTCTCACTACTTTCTGTGACTTTATGATTTTTGGTCTCACCGACGTTTTGATTATGTGCTTATTGCAGAGCTTTGTTGCACAGGGGATAGGCAAGGGGAAAGAAATACAGTGGATTTTCCTGGACTATTAAGATTGATAGGAAGTTGCCTGTCAGTATTTGCTGATGCTAAATAATCTAGAAAATGTGAAGCAATACTATATGTTCAACAATACATATAGTATTTGATTGCCATTGCATTGGTAACAGGTTATATCAATTGATAATCTTAGTGTTCAGATTAATTTCTAAGAGAACAGTTTGGAGAACTCTTCTACTTCATACCATGGTGTAAGAGGAAAATGTGACTTTCAGTTTTGAAGAGTATAATTTAAGTTTTTCTTATATCACTTAATAACTGTGACTTTAAATAAACCTTATAATCTTTGAGAAACTAATTACGGCTAAAATGAGACAACATTAAGTTCCCTCTAACATAATGCTTACGTAAGTAGATTTGACATTCATATATTCTCAGTTGTCCTCTGTGGAGGTTGTTTTTAATCTCCATTTTGCAAATGAGGAAATAGAAGTTTAGGGAAAAGTTATGTGAATTGACCAAGTTCACATAACTAAAAAAGAATAGGTCTGAGATTTGAACCCAGATCTGTCTTGCCACCTATTTTCCACTAAATGTTGCCCTTAGATGGGTTTAACTGGAAAATGTTTGTGACCTCTCTTTTGGATTTTGTCTTTTAAAGACTAGCTTTCTCATTTTCGCTATTTGCTTGTAGAATGATTGTCAGATTTTTGGGGTTTGAAACTTGGCTTCACCATTTATTTGTTGTGTGATTAGAGGTGAAATACTTTCTTGACCCTCAAATTTCTTTTTGTAAAATGGGAGTAGCAATGTACCTTGGGATTTTGTGATGTAATATTGTGGAATGCTTAGTATATGGAGTACATATTCAGTTAGTGCAAACTGTTGTTATTGTGGACACTAGAAACAATAATGTGGAAAAATCTTTGATACTGGAAAGACCTTGGATCCGGCTTAATTCTTTGTACTTTTTAGCTTTGAGTGAGACTTTCATTGAGCAACTTAACATTTTGAAACTTTTTTTTTTCTTAACCTTTAAAAGAAATCATAGGACATACCATGCAGTATTTATATTGATTTTTTAATGGACAGAATATTTAAAACAGTGCCCAGAAGATTGCATACAAAATAATTTCTTTATTTTGCATTCCACAGTTGCTTTTAATTTTTCTTCTAATCTTGAGAGCACTCATCTTTTTTTCCATAAGAGATTCATTGATCCGTTGATAGATATATAGGGTGGTTGCTATTGGGTAGTTTAGATGAACGAAGTCAGTATGTATTGCCATCAATGGATACACTTTGAAAATAGAGTTGAGTGGAAAAGAAAGTTGTAGAAGGACATGCACAATTACAATTTCACTGATGGAGATTTTCTTTTTTTTTTTTTTTTTAAGATTTATTTATTCATGCATACAAGAACCAGGGTAGAGGCCAGAGATGTGGGAGGGTGAGAGGATTCACCAGAGACAGAGTGGGGAGCAGAACAGGCAGACTGACTGAAATACACTGCTGAGGGGAGTAGCGGGCAAGACAGGAGAGGTCTGCTGCGCCATGTGGGTATCTCCCTACCCCGCCAGGATCAAACCTGCACTGTAGAGATTGCAGACAGCTTCACAGTGCTGCGCTCAACTGCCTGCACCACCAGTGTAGTCCATGGAGATTTTCAAAAGAACAATACTGTATATTGCATATAAGAATAGTATTCTAAAACATGGATGACAAAGATATATGCCAATTGTAGTACAGTGATTATTTTTGAGATGGAAGAGTGAGGAAAGATAGTACAAAGGTATTTCAACTATATCAAATAATGTACTTGAAAAAGTGATGGAGACATTCAAGTATAGTCTTTGTAATGTTCTATTTTTAAAATAATTCAATTTAAAAATGCTAACAAGAAGGTCTCCCTGGTGGCGCAGTGGGTTGAGCAGAGTTCTATGAAGCTGTCCACAGCCTCTGCCACGCTGGTTCGATTCCCAGCCGGCCAGGGAGAGACCCACATGGCGCAGCAAACCTCTCCTGTCTCGCCCGCTGCTCCCCTCAGCAGTGTATTTTGGCCCATCTGCCTGTTCTACTCCCCGCTCTGTCTCTGGTGAATTCTCTCACCCTCCCACGCCTCTGGCCTGTACCCCCATTCTTGTATAAATAAGTCTGTAAAAAAAAAAACATTAACAAAGTTTTAACAAGTGAGTAGACAGCTTTTGTACTAAATTTTTTCATTCTTATTTTTGTCATTCTTTTTTTTTTTTTTTTTTTAAATATTAAATTTTATTTTTATATTCCCCCATACAATTGCAAACGCCCCATTCTGACCCCAATCCTTCCCCTCCCGCCCCCCACCCCCCAAAAAAGTGTCTCTGGTTCATAGTTTTTTGTTGATTTTGATTTTCACTTTCTTATATTCATTTTCCTGGTCCCTTATTTAAGTTTTCTAGATTCCTGCTATGAGTGAGACCATCCGGTATTTTTCTTTTTCTTTTTGGCTTATTTCGCTGAGCATGATCCCTTTTTTAGTAAATGATTATGGAATTTTATTTTATGATAATTGTTAAAAAGTTTTACTTTAAAATTGTAGGATTGAATTTGGAAGGTGTATTTGAAGAAATACTTGAAGAAAATACAAAATAAATGAGTGCAATGGTATGTTGATATGCAAAATTATTTAAAATAGAATATGAAAAACACATTAGCAATTTCCAAGTTTTAAGATTCAGTTTTCAAAAAGGGTAAATTAAATATACTACTCATTTTCTTGGTGAATAGTAATTTAGTAATGAGTAATAGTAACGAGTAATGAGTAATAGTAATGAGTAATACTCATTACTCTAGGCAAATAGTAATTTCTCTAGTGGATCTTATAGGGAGAACATAAATAATTTAATATGTATTGCCTATATCTTAACTTCAGAATGCATTCATCAAATTTTGTCTTATATAGTACTTGGATATTGATTGATTATATGAAACCAAAGTGAATTCAGTGGAGGAGAAAGATCGTAGGCAAAAAGATGGGTTGATGGAATGGGGGTAGAGTAAAAAGTTATGCTCTTTCCAACGATTTGCCTCCAGTAATCAAAGGGTGGATTTTAACAGTAACTTAAAGTATCCCATAGCTTGAGTATTATGATGAATCTTTGATTTATAAATCGTATTCAGAGACTATTAAATGTAGACTTTAAAATGTTTTCCTAAATATGCATACCACTATCTCTCATATGTATAAATATTTTTGTGATTAATAAAGTAAAAATGCATTTTAACACATTACTGAGTGCACAACAGTTTTTGTCATTTATGGTCATTGATGTAGCAGTTATATTTGAATGAATGCTTTAAACATTAAAAATGGTGGGAAACCATGATTACTGACTTGACAAACTATCCTTAAGTCTTTTCTCAATAAATAATGTTTTTTTGGGATCGTCAGTGTTAATCCCTGAAAGGTACATAAAGGTATAGCTCTTTTTTATTGCAAGTTAAGTAGTGACTTAACGCTTTGAGGTTGAATTGGAATAGATCCTTTGAAAATTGAGGCTCTTAAGTTAGATATACCAGATAAGGAAGCTGAAACCAAGAACTATCTGATGGCAGCACTAGGATTCTCTTTAGAAAAATAATATTAGGTAAATCCTAGTAGAAAACAGGTACTTAATCCCTGTAATTTCATAAAATAGCATGGCAGTAGTCTTTAACCTGGAAACTTTTTAAAGCACATGTTTTTTTAAAAGCAAATTAGCCATTTTCTCATTCATAAAAAAGATTTTGGGAATTATCTACTTTAGTGTAGAAAATGTTTAATATTTTTTAAATTACAAGATACATAATTTATTAAGTGTGGTAACTTACATAAATAATTTTTAGAATTAGAGTTGGGAAGCTGCTGCAGTTTATTTTTAAAAATAAAACAATTGTTAAATTTATTAATGCTAAGAAATTTAAAAATTGTGGTAGTATGTAGATACAAATATATGTATCTTTTAACTTTCAAGTGTATAGTTTAGTGCTCTAAGTGCATTCACATTGTTGGCTAATCATTACTGTCATGTAACTCCAGAACTTTTCATCTTCCCAGATTGAAGCTCAGTACCCATTAAATGATAATTTCACTTTCCTTCCTCCTCTTAGCCCCTGGCAACTGACATTCTATATTATCTATTTATGGTTTTGAATGTTGTAGGTACTTAATATAAGTATAGTTATAGAATATTTGTTCTTTTGTAATTGGCTGATTTCAGTTAGCATAATGTCTGATTCTCCCATGTTGTATAGTTCAGAATTAATTCCATTAATGTATATACTTAACTCCATTGATGTATGTTCCTCATTTTGCTTATCCATTCTTTCTGTGAACTTGGAAATGTACTTTTTCTAAGCAAATTAATTGTAAAAATACTCCCTCTAGAATTCCTAGGGTTGAGATAGGAGAGAGGGTTTCGATATAGGTGGTGTTAGCTGTGGGGACCCTACAAGAAATAAGCCTGGAATTCCAAGCAGATAGAATGTCATGTGTATTACTATAGAGGCTTGAGAGATCTCAGCCCATCTCAGAGAAATTTTAGGCAGGTTGTTTACAGTTTACAGACTGTGTGCTGGGAATTAGTTCCAGAACCCTCCTTAGATACCATATTTATGAATACTGAAGTCTCTTCTATAAAAATGGCTTAGTATTTGTATATACCTATGGACATCCTACGTATACTTTAAATCATTTGTATATTATAATATTTAATATAATATTGTTGCATACAAGTAGTTGATAGGCTATATTTAGGGAATAAAGACAAGAAAAATAAGTCTCTATATGTTCAGTACAGATGATTATCCTAATTACAAAGTCACATATTAGTAGAGTCCATGGATATGAACCTGCTGGTACTGAAGACTGAGTGTACTTGGCACTTAGATGGTGTATGTGAAAGTGGCATGTGATGAGACTGGGAAGTTGATAAAGATAATCAAATATTTTTACATTTTGAAATTTTCCACTGCTTTTGAGGTGTTACCAGTTTTTTTATCTGATAACATTTGTGTTGTTTGTGATATCAGTAATGATGGTTGAAAAGTAAGTCAAAATTAATCCTCACATCTACCTTTGTTTTCTAATGGAGTGAGAAGGAATGGGGAATATAGTGGAAGACAATATCAAAGACATCTTGTCGTGCATTTTTAATAACAAATGATAATAAACTTGAGAAACAGCTCCACAAGAATTATAATTAGTCAGTTTTTTCCATTGTACTTGGGATCTGAACATTTAAAATTTCATCAATTTTTTTTTTCAGAAAGATGATTCAAAATTGTATCTGCTATTTGAAATAAGTGAATTGTCAAATTTACTTCATACCTTCTCTATCAATTAAATTACTTTCATTTGCTTGAAGGTCAAAATAAGTACTTTTTGTGCATACTGTCTTATTCATGAATGACTTATAGTACTCCTAAATATGTCTGCTTGTTGTCCAAGAATGCACAGTCAAGTGTTTTTTAAGAGATTGTTCTGTCATTCTTTATAATCGTCTTTATTGAAAAAGTCACAGACTTGTCATTGTACTTTCAAGAATCAATGTGAGTCTTGCTCATAAATTGTAGGGCTTTGAAGAAATCATTTAGTTCTTTTGAAATGACATTTAAAATGAAATCAACTTTTAGTTAGTAAAAGTGATAGCTATGACTTTGTGAGCTGCTGTTAGCGGCTTTGGAAACTAGTTGGTTAGCTCATTGTCATAATGAGGTCATTTTCTAAAAGAGGATGAAGTCATTTGCCATCTTGTTTTAGTCATAGTGGGCTTTTTCTTTGACTAAATATTTTCAAATTGCATATTCCCACACACTTATTTTCAGAGTTGCTAAAACTTTCATAGAATAAAAAAATGATGGAACTTTTGAATGGCAACAGGTTATATACTTAATATGGCCAATATATGATTTCTGTTTTATACCATAGTTAGAAAAATATAGATTTAAAATCTATATATAGATTAATCCATATTTCCTAATGAGAAAGGCAAATAGTATGAAGATTTCTAAATTTAAATCTCAGCACAAAAAAAAATGCGAATTCTCCCAATAATTGTGTTCTTTTGGGTCTGCAGGCTGATATAATCAGAGACATGTAATCTCTACTTGCCTGGACACCTGTTGCTTCACCATGTGTCTGTGGTCTCATCTGAGATTCAAATCTATTGAGAAATTTATTGTTAGTAGAGAATAGGAGCAACTTCTGATCACTACCATCTATTTTTACTGGTGCCTTAATTCTCTTTTTCTCTGAGTTGCCCATATAAATCTATATATTTATTCCAGTCTTAGGGTTCCATGCATATCAGAATGGCTACTTTTAAATATTTAATGACAATCTGATCCAAGCATTCTTTTCTTTCACATATAAAATTCTATCATGCTTTAATATTCATGTATACTGAAATCGTCACAGTAAGTCCAGTTAACATTCATTACTACTACATACTGTTGTATGTTATTATAGACTTTCCTCTTAAGGATTTTTCAGATCTACTTTATCAACTTTGAAATATGCAATAAAGCATTAACTGTAGTTAAACCATGCTGTACTTTACATCCTGTTGACTTCCTCCTCTTTGTAGAGGAAGAATGTTTAGTATACTGTTATACAATAATATAAAATTGGTTATATATGCATTAGAAAAATATGATATGAGGTAGTATAATTTATCTTGAATGTAATAACAATTTGAGACCAGTGGGATAAAGTGGAGAACCTAAATTTGATTCATTGGCAATTAAAATTTAATGCAACAGTCACAAAACAATAATTATAATGTTGCAATGAATTTAGCCCTTTAAAGATGAAGTCATAAGAAAACTTTAAAGGAAGCAGAACTGTATTCTATCTTAAGAGGTATTGCAATTAAAATACAGTTCTCTATGATCATTATACTAACGTTAAGGTAGTAAATAGGTAAGTATCTTCTGTAAGTTATCTATTCCCACTTTAATACTGTATCACACACACACAAAATACTGTATCTCAAAGAAATCAAATCTCTGTGACACAACAGTGTTTATTGCTCATGAGTCTAAGATGGTCAGTTAGCTCTGCTGATCTAGGATAACCTTGGTACAAATAGCTGATGGACTTGGTTTTGCTCTATTTCTTTCATTCATCAGTCTAGTCCTGATCATGATGATGGCAAAAGTGGAATAAAGAATTAAAAATATAATACATTTTAAAGCCTGATGTTATAGCATGTGCACGTGAGTTCCACTTTAATTATTTGCCAAAGAAAATAACAGCTAAGCTTCAGTGAATGGGAAAAATACATGATTTGTTTAGTGAGAGAAGCTGCAAAGTCACAAGGGAAAAGGTCCAGATATGGGGAGGGATGAATAATCGGAGTCACCATCAAAATCTACCTCACATACCCTAAGGCATCAGAGAATAAAACAAATGAACATTTCAGTAAATAGCTTTCTTCTATTTACATATCATTTGATCATATTGTATGTTCTTAGAGGTTTTTTAAGCTATGAAATGTAGGCTCAGTGTTAGTAAACATTTCTTTATTTTCAAAAGTTATATAATTTTTATATTGATTTTTGAATGTTAAACATATTTATGGAATGAACTATTAAGGTGACAGTAATTCCTCCACTTGGTATGT